CGTCCGGTGTCCCAAACCAGCAGACCTCTATTCAGCTCTCATAAAATCCGTTTGACTTGTATTATTATCCGGGAGGGCTATTGCTTCTAGATTTGAAGCTTTCGTGACTGCAAGGATTCATACTCTTAGTTTTTTTTCGGTAAAGTCACGTAGGTAAAAAATAAAAATAAATAATAACAATAATAGAAATAAAAGAATAAATAACGAGATTATTTTTTTCCTACGTGACTTAAAAAATAACAATAAAAATAATATAAATAATAATAGAAGTAAAATAATAAATCGCTTTATTTATTATTTTATTTCTATTTTTTTTTACCTACGTGACTTTACCGAAAACACCTAAGAGTAGGGCTATTGCTATTTACGCATCGGTGAACAAGACACTGGCTTCCTATGCCCACGCCGCTACCCCAGTAACGCGTTAACCATCGTGCGTTCACCGTTGTTTTCTTTCCGCCTTCGCCGTGGGACTCGCCACGTGGCCGACGACTCGTCACGTGGGCGAGAGCGAGCCGGAGATTTGGCGTCGTGGCCCGCGATGTTGGGGAGTTGCCTTCGCGGACGACTGGCCCCGTGACTGGCCCCGTGCTGCGAAACGTTGCAAGTGCACGTCTTAGATGTGCAGCGGGGACAAAGGTGGCGGCGGTCACGTTGCCAGTGCAATAAAAAAAGTTCACAGTTTATCACCGCTTGCTTCCTTTCTGTTCTTCGTTCACGCTCTCTTCCTGACTCCTCTGTTGTTGTTTTCCTTCACCCGTTCCCTCTTCAGTGCTTGTTATAATTCTCGTCCTCAGTGGTCGCCAAGCTGAACTCTGTGCTCTGCGGGTGATTTGGGAGCGAATCGGAGTGTTCAGTGTAATGATACGGCACAGCGTTGTCACTACAAGAGATTGCTACCGTAGTGTCGATGGTCAGCACCACTTCTGGAACTTGCAATTCAGAGGAACTCAAAAAATGGGGATCAAGATCAGTGGTCCTCGACCTTCTTTGGATACTCTGCCCCCCCCTTGTTGAATTTAGTTTCAGCCGAGGTACCCCCCCCCTTGCCTGACCCAACATGGTTCTCAGAAATAAATGTATGAATAATGAACATCAGTATTTTAACAATTGCCCATTTTGTAAGGTGTCAACTGCAAGCGAATAAAAACATTCAAAGGACACTCTCCTTGCGTGTGCAGGGGCCTAGAGTACACGTGGTGTAGTGTACAGGGCCTAGAGTACACGTGGTGTAGTGTACAGGGCCTAGAGTACACGTGGTGTAGTGTACAGGGTCTAGAGTACACGTGGTGTAGTGTACAGGGCCTAGAGTACACGTGGCGTAGTGTACAGGGCCTAGAGTACACGTGGTTTAGTGTACAGGGCCTAGAGTACACGTGGCGTAGTGTACAGGGCCTAGAGTACACGTGGCGTAGTGTACAGGGTCTAGAGTACACGGTGTAGTGTACAGGGTCTAGATACACGTGGTGTAGTGTACAGGGTCTAGAGTACACGTGGTGTAGTGTACAGGGTCTAGAGTACACGTGGCGTAGTGTACAGGGTCTAGAGTACACGTGGTGTAGTGTACAGGGCCTAGAGTACACGTGGCGTAGTGTACAGGGTCTAGAGTACACGTGGCGTAGTGTACAGGGTCTAGAGTACACGTGGTGTAGTGTACAGGGTCTAGAGTACACGTGGCGTAGTGTACAGGGTCTAGAGTACACGTGGCGTAGTGTACAGGGTCTAGAGTACACGTGGTGTAGTGTACAGGGCCTAGAGTACACGTGGTGTAGTGTACAGGGTCTAGAGTACACGTGGTGTAGTGTACAGGGCCTAGAGTACACGTGGCGTAGTGTACAGGGCCTAGAGTACACGTGGCGTAGTGTACAGGGTCTAGAGTACACGTGGTGTAGTGTACAGGGTCTAGAGTACACGTGGTGTAGTGTACAGGGTCTAGAGTACACGTGGCGTAGTGTACAGGGTCTAGAGTACACGTGGCGTAGTGTACAGGGTCTAGAGTACACGTGGTGTAGTGTACAGGGCCTAGAGTACACGTGGTGTAGTGTACAGGGTCTAGAGTACACGTGGTGTAGTGTACAGGGCCTAGAGTACACGTGGCGTAGTGTACAGGGCCTAGAGTACACGTGGCGTAGTGTACAGGGTCTAGAGTACACGTGGTGTAGTGTACAGGGTCTAGAGTACACGTGGTGTAGTGTACAGGGTCTAGAGTACACGTGGCGTAGTGTACAGGGTCTAGAGTACACGTGGCGTAGTGTACAGGGTCTAGAGTACACGTGGTGTAGTGTACAGGGCCTAGAGTACACGTGGTGTAGTGTACAGGGTCTAGAGTACACGTGGTGTAGTGTACAGGGTCTAGAGTACACGTGGCGTAGTGTACAGGGCCTAGAGTACACGTGGCGTAGTGTACAGGGTCTAGAGTACACGTGGCGTAGTGTACAGGGCCTAGAGTACACGTGGCGTAGTGTACAGGGCCTAGAGTACACGTGGCGTAGTGTACAAGGCCGCTGCGTTGTGTGAATGGCAGCCCTCCCCGGGGCGGCTGTCCCGCCGACGATGATGTGCGCCGTATGCGCGTGCCGATCGTTTCCAAAAACATCTGCCTCTTGCTGCGCCTGCTGCGGCCCTCGGTGAGATTTGTTTCTGCGCTTCCTGCAAAGTCCCCCGCGGGAAGAACGAGGGCTCAAAAATACCCCACTGCCCCGCGACTGCACGAGTGCGTTGCTCTTTGCGGAGCGGTCTCTTCGCGGAAATGTTTCATCGTCTGGCTGGTCACGACGTGGAAACGCGCACCAGTCTGTCCGCGTTAGAATAAGAACGGCCGATGTCCATGCGTTGGTGCGTTTCCGGCATTGTGTTTACGAGCTTGCATCAGTATCGTAACACTTGCGTCGGTTCCTGACTCGGGTGCCTTTTTCTGCGTGGAGTTTGTATGTTTGTGTGTGTCCCCCGTTCAGCATGGAGCGTGGGTTGTCTCCGGCTTGTTTTCTCCCATCAGCATGGAGCATGGGTTGTCTCCGGCTTGTTTTCTCCCATCAGCACGGAGCGTGGGTTGTCTCAGGCTTGTTTTCTCCCATCAGCACGGAGCATGGGTTGTCTCCGGTTTGTTTTCTCCCATCAGCACGGAGCGTGGGTTGTCTCCGGCTTGTTTTCTCCCATCAGCACGGAGCGTGGGTTGTCTCCGGCTTGTTTTCTCCCATCAGCACGGAGCGTGGGTTGTCTCAGGCTTGTTTTCTCCCATCAGCACGGAGCGTGGGTTGTCTCCGGCTTGTTTTCTCCCATCAGCATGGAGCGTGGGTTGTCTCCGGCTTGTTTTCTCCCATCAGCATGAAGCATGGGTTGTCTCCGGCTTGTTTTCTCCCATCAGCATGGAGCGTGGGTTGTCTCCGGCTTGTTTTCTCCCATCAGCATGGAGCTTGGGTTGTCTCCGGCTTGTTTTTCTCCCATCGCTACAAATAATGAAAAGTAGTCTAAGGTGGTTCTCCTGGGTAAATTAGCGCATTCTAAAATGTTCATCATCAGCCATTATATTTTCACTGCCGAATGCCTCCCCAAGCCACCGTCATCTTTAACGATCTCGCGATGTGACAATCCCGATCCCATCGCTCCATCTCTATGAGCGCGTAACCCCCTCTCGCGTGTTCCCTCCCTTGGCTGCTGCTCGTTTGTTTTCTCGCCTATCGGTCATCATCCCTTCTGGCGACGCGCCCTTCCCGGGCCCACTTAACCCTTACCAAGAGTCTCAATGATGACCTTTAACCCGCATGTGGTCTCATCTTTCTGTTTCGGTGTAAACCCAAGCCACCCTCCTGTCCATGCTTCTATGCGCACTTCTCATCTTTTGTTCCATGGTCTCCGTCGGTGTCCGTGTCACAGCAGGTGATACGCGATGATTAAAATCATTCACCTTTAAACATTGGTGCGCCGCTTTACATGTATGTATCGGTACGTATGCGAGTCAGTGCGAGGGAGTTGTTGCTCTTTTAACTCGTCGCATGATTTGTGGTCTCCTATCGCTGGTGACGTCTCTGAAGCTGAAAAAACCCAAAAGGTCATTTTTAAAGTGACACAGAACACCCCGTCTCAAAATCAGTAGTGTCAGGACGGCCTCTGCCTCTGACCCACGCTGCTGACCCCTGATGTGATTCGATTTTTTTATTACTTTTTTTTGTTCTTGAGCCTCATTTTTAAATTCCGTTAATGGTGCCGTGGGTTCCCGCTGGCAAGGGCTGCTGCACGGATTGCGAGCTTTGCGCCTCCAGTTCTCCCCGTGTCCCTGGGTAGATTCATCACCTTGCTGCCAGACAGCACTCGCTCTTGCAGCTGCAAAGGTCATATTTCCACGTTGCTTTCCCGTGCGATTTTCTCATGAAGGACTGTCCTAAAGTCTGTGCGGATGTCGCGTGAAATCCGGCTGCATGGCGTTCACGAAGAGACGGCTCGAATCGCAGTGACGGGAATCTTGCGGGTGCAAGTGCTGTTCATGGGTCAACTTGGGGACCATCGTTCCTCCTATGTTGATAAAATAGGTACCACTAGAGGTGGCCGGGTGGCCTGGGATCAGAGCGCTCAGCTAGCACTGTCAAGCACCTGGGTTCGAATCCAGGCAGTAGCCAGTGATTAAACCAGGTTCTCAAGTGCAACGAGTCGATGTTATCAGCCTGTTTACCAATGACTGCACACACAGGAAAACCCCCAACAATGTTAAATATGGGTCTGTGCTTAATTTAGCTAAATTTAAGCTCCAAGAGTTTGGCCGTCGAGTGACAAACATTTCTGTCGGTGGTAAAGCGAGTGGGAAAGTGCTGCCCTCTGCAGCGTGGAACAGATGTCACGTGAAGGCAACTCTTGTCTCGCACGAAGGGCCGCCGTTGGTCCGCGAGAGATCCGAGTGGATTCTTCAACCCCGTGGCGCGACACGATCAGGGGTGAAATTTTGGGGAGAAAGATTTTAGTTAAAATGTTGAACGATCCGTAAGGCCCTGAGCCATTATCTCCCCCAGGCTTTCCTCAGCTGCATCAGAAGCTTCTCAACAGATTTGACAGGGACGTGCTGGAGGAGCTGGAATGGGCTGAGAAATTCTACTTGAAGGTGAGGGCACCACCTCCTGTTCTCCTACAGGGGACCTGGGGACACCGGTCGTCTGGCTCGTAATCACGGCCTGATGTAGGTATCTTTATCGGTTCGAGCCCAGTGGCCACCCTGGTTAATACCTTAAATGCCGCGCACTTTCTGCTTCACGATGAACGTTAAAGATTTCGTGACGTTATCTGAAAACGGGGTAGGCCTTGTGTGCCGCTGCCATGGTCCATATTTTCCAACTTTGAAAAATTGCAAATTACTTCATTGGGTAAAGTCAATTAGTAGCATCGCACCCTCCTGGCAGACTATACCCATCTGTCAAACACAGTTTTTTCGTGGTGGCCTCGTGCTATAATGGCACAAATACAAAACGATAACCAAATGTATATTCTTGGTTCTTTCGGTAAAGTCACATAGAAGGGAAACAATAAAATAATAAAAATCTAAAACAATAAAATTCTCACGACGTTTCGACTGCAACACAAGCAATCATCATCAGTTGTGAAAAACACGGCAAGAAAAATTTCTTGCTGTATTGTTTTATATCTTTTATTATTTTATTGTTTCCCTTCTACGTGACTTTACCAAAAGAACCAAGAATATGAATCCATGCAGTCACGAAAGCTTTAAATCCAAAGATAACCAAATTGTCATTATCGGGGTACGTGCTCACGTGTGAGCGAGAGCCGCCTGTAGTTTGATTATCCCGACAGCCCAAGGCAATTCCTCTGTAATTAAAATTATTTTTCGCCACATTCTCATTCGTTGCCATGCCAATGACAGTCAGCCACACGGTGACGTTGCCGCCACGAGGGTCACGGAAGAGGCGGGGGTGGAGGAGGATAACGCGGGAGGAGGTGATGTCAGGTTTGAGAGTCAGAGGCCGTGTTCATCAGAGGAGTGGACAAGGGCTAAGGGGAAGAGAGGCTTACTTCCAGCCCGGTGTGCACAGGTCCCTGATCCAAAAGGAATGCCCGTGCCCGTAACACCACATCCAGTATACCTCTTATTGTGTCTGCGGCTGCGAGTAACGTACCACCATCTCCAGTCCACCAGCGTTCCTGTAATATAGTGAGCCCTGGTGGCAAGTGCCATATTACAGGCATGTCTCGTGTCTTCGTAGGACTCCACTGTTGTACTGTACCGCGCAGCTCCACAATTCTCACTGTGAAAGGAGCCGGCTTGTCGTCCGACGTTTCGCTCCGCGTGCCACGGCTCAGGTTGTCGGACATGCCGAACGACATGCGGCACAAACTGGACAACGCGTCGGAGAGCCATGCTCATTCTTCTTCACGGGCTTCCCCCACGCCTCCTGCCACAGCGGCTTCGGCTGCCCACGGCTGCTGCCCTCTGCCCCTTTATTTAGATTTTACCTGCAGGGCGGTCACGCTTCCCGGCGTGCGATGGCGGCGCTACGATGGCGCGCACGCCTCCTAAGTCGGAGGCAGAAATAATCGCGACCTGGTAGTGGCACCTGGTGCACCGCTGGCCAGATGGCCCCACACTGCTGCCCGTGGGCAAATGGCTTTCGTAAAAATAAATATTCCGTGGCTCATGTCGCGGGGGCCTCTTGCGGGACATTTTTTTGCGATAGATGGCTTTTCCAACCGAGTGCTTTGCTCTCCAAAAATCAATGAAACTCAATAAATGTCTTGCACGAAACAGAGCCGGAGCCCTCCATCTGTCTTAAGCTGGCCAGGGCCCCAAGAGAGAACGGGGAAGGTTAAAAATACACTTTTATTTATTTGTTTTCGTGTGGACTGACAGTGTGTTTTTGTGTCCAACCTTGGGCTGGCATTTGCTAAAATGACACAGCAGTCCGCTGTGGCACTCTGTGGCAGGTTGGCAGAACATTCAAAGATGATTCACAGCAAGAAAACGTTTGGCCGATTTAGAGAGAAATGTTTTGGCCGTTGTGGCTTCCGATTGATTTTCCGCTACTCCACTCGCACGAGGAAAATCTGTCCGGGAGTTACCGGTTTTCAAACCTAATTATCATCGATCTACGTTCGTGTTTAGGTTGAGGGCCACGTGGTGGTAGTTTTTATTCCAAAAATATTGTTATTAACCCTCCAGCACCCGACGGAGATTGTCATTTTCACACAGGTAGTATTTCGATATAAAGCTTTCGTGACTGCAGGGATTCATCTTCTTGGTTCTTTCGGTAAAGTCACGTAGAAGGGAAATAATAAAATAATAAAAATAAAACATAATAAAATAATTCTCACGACGTTTCGGCCACAACGCAAGCAGCCGTCCTCAGGTGGAAAACAGGTCTGTCGAGGAGACAAAGAACAGATTCTATCTCCTCGACAGACCTGTTCTTCACCTGAGGACGGCTGCTTGCGTTGCGGCCGAAACGTCGTGAGAATTATTTTATAATGTTTTATTTTTATTATTTTATTATTTTTATTCTATGTGACTTTACTGAAAGAACCAAGAAGACAGGTAGTATTATTATTTACATGTGACCAACCTCCCTATAAAATTCTGAACCGATAAAGCTTCTCCTCCTCCTCACCTGGTGGCTTACGACTTTCCATGACTGAGCCCTGGTGGGAAGTGCCATTTTCCAGGGATGTCTTGTGTCGTCATAGGGACTCCGCTGCCGTACTGTACCGTGCAGCTCCACCATTCCCACTGTGAAAGAGGAGCCGAGCCGGCTTGTTGTCCGACGTTTCGCTGCACGTGCTGCAACTCATTTCCTGAAGGTTCCAGCACGTGGAGCGAGCTTGTCGGACGCACACTCACGATGTTCCCGCGCCTTCCGTTCTGTGTCTCTGGTGCAGGGCTGGCTGGAGAGGGCACTGGGCGCGTATAACGAGCTGCTCGAGTCGTACCCCTACAGCCCGTGGTGCCACTTCAGGAAGGCGCAGGTGTGACGTGTGGACACAGGCAGCGCCTGCTGCGTGCGTTGGTGTGTGCCTGTCCGTGTGGAGTGGGGAGCGGTGGTGTAGCAGTCGCCTGCGTGCGTTGGTGTGTGCCTGTCCGTGCGGAGTGGGGAGCGTTGGTGTAGCGGTCGCCTGCGTGCGTTGGTGTGTGTCTGTCCGTGCGGAGTGGGGAGCGGTGGTGTAGCGGTCGCCTGCGTGCGTTGGGGTGTGCCTGTCCGTGTGGAGTGGGGAGCGGTGGTGTAGCAGTTGGCTTGCTGCGCTTTGAACCCGGCGGTCCGAGTTCGATTCTCGCTGACGGCCAGCACCAGCGACGATGATCTGAACCGGTCTTGAGCCTCCCCTAGGTCGACTAAGCCTCAAATGAGTACCTGGTGCGATGTATAAATATCGCCACTGGAGAGGCGTGGTGTTGGCCACCCACCCCCTCGTGGTGCCGTGCCAGCCTTCAAAGTTGCTCGCTAACAACACTTGCCCCAACCGTCTGTTGAAGGACACATGGGGATCTTTGTCTGTGTATTAGTGGGGGGAGCGGTGGCGCCGTGGTTAGCGCACCGCGTTACGAACCTGGTAACCCAAGTTTAATTCCCGGCCACGGCAAATATCTAGATCGGTCCTGGGTCTGTGTAGGGCGACTCAGCCCTAAATGAGTAGCTGGTGTGGTGTAAAACATCGCCACTGGGGAGACAAAGGCGGCCAGAACGTGGTGCCGGCCACTCACCCCCTCATTTTCCATGTTGGCCCTCATAGTTGTTCACTAACAGTCAGTTAAAGGCTATGTGGGGGATCTTTGTATTTATGGTTTATCTTTGTCCTTTTATAATTTTTTGCGTGCCAGTTCAAGTTCATTTACTAGGTATAGCCCTGTGAGCCATTCGGCTCTTGAATCGGGTGCAACCGCAACAAACAAAAAACAAAAACATGAAAAAGAAAACATCTTAAAGTGAATATGTGACTAAGTGCAAACAGAAAATCCAAGAAAAGACAGCAAAATATTGCAGAAAAAACACCGTACACCAACGCTGTGTGCAAAAATCCCAGTTATAGAGTGTTGGAAAGTAGGCTTGATAAACTTTCACCGGTAACCATTTAAAACCGATTACTACGTCCGAAAGCCAGAAGCGGCAATCATTTCCTGTGGAATTTAGGTTAAAATGTAAGGTTTTTTTTGCTCGAGAAATTTCTCCGTGCGCGTGCGTGTGTGGCAAACCGGTACCCTTTTTGTTTTGATTTAGTTACGGCTAATGCAGACGAGACGATTGCACTGATGCTACTGTGCAGCAGAGGTCGGCCGTGGCTCTGCGAGGGAGGGCAGGCCACGCGACACCGAGGGGGCTCCTGTAATCACGAGGTTTTTTCATTTCACCGGACTTTTCATTTAACTGGACTTAAATCGTGAAAGTCCCCCGACAGCAACTAAACCTCATGCCTTACTCACGTTTCGTTCGCATGAGACCATCTTTATGACAGCCGTCACGCCCCCCGCCCCCCGTTACGGACAGACCCACGGAAAGCGTCAACAAAACGGCGCTGTGCTTGTGGCCCCCCAGATTTCCGAGGAGCTGGCCGATCGCCGCGGCTGTGCGTCGCTGGGCAGGATGGCGACGCGGTTCTACGCCACCGTGGTGGAGATGCCGGAGGTGCCGGCGGGCCTGGTGCGCCCGGCGCTGGAACGGCGCACGGCGCTGCTCCTGTCGCTCGGTGAGGCACGGCGGTCACGTGACCCGACGGGGGGGCGGCTGGGCCTTCCCTAGGTCGACTCAGCCTCAAATAAGTACCTGGTGCGATGTGTAAACGTCGCCACTAGGGAGACAAAGGCGGCAGAGCGTGGTGCTGGTCACCCACCCCATTGTGTGTCGTACTGGCTTTCATAAGTGCCCGCTACCAGCACTTGCCCCTACAGTCTGTTTCAGGCTATAAGGGGGATCTTTGTCTTTGTCTCCTTCTGAGAAGGTTCAGAATGGCCATGTTTTGAGCCAGTCTGTCCAAAAGCAACGTTTTTTTTCTGCCCGACCGTATGTGCTTTGACAGTCAATATGATGCATATAATCTGCATTTAGGTAAAATCCACGTGTTGCTCTCGCTTGTCTATTCTGAGCGTGTACCTCTCCGTGCTTATTTGCGAACTATTCACATTTTTTTTCCAACGATAAGCAACATACCCTTGTATATTTGCATTTACCAAGCACCAATAACGGGTGTAATCAGTATACGTTACCTGCGATGAGAATTGGATGTGAAACGTGAACACATACATGTATTTAAATTTAAATATAAACTTAACTGCGGGCAAGAAAGTAAACCCAGTGTAGCCTATGCTCCTTCGACGGAGGAGGAGGAACAGCGACACGACACGAACTCTCTCTCTCTGCTGAAGCCCTCTCATCGTGGCAGCAGCAGCAGCAGACCTCGACATTGGCATCGAGCCCCAGAACCACACTGCCATCATACGCAAGAATGAAATAAAACCTTTAAGATAATTAGTGTTCTTCTCTGAAGTTGTCGACACCGACTTCGCCAATGTTGCCACAGGCAAAACCTGCGAGGCCCTCTCAACGTTCCGGAGGCTCGTCAAGGTTTTTCCCAAGGACGCCTCGCTGAGGGCGGAACTGAAGAGGATCGCGGATTCCCTGAAGCGGGCGGAGGATCCACCCCAGCCCTGCGCCAACGAGGTGCTCCACCTGCGATGTTCGCGAGTTATGAAATCCAAGTTTGCGCTCGGGGTTATCCAGACTAGCAGTTAGTGTACTACCTGCTGGGACATAATAATAATTTATTTCTGATAGAGCCGCCCTCCTTGGCAAGTCGGCATCGCGAGTCCTTTACATGCGATGAGTGACTTGCATCCCATCTCATCGCAAACATTTGAAAGGGCACCCCCAGTGGCAGTTGTCCCTGTGTGGCACAAAGGTGACTCGGCACCTGGCGTTCAAGCTAGTAGGGGGGCGATGATTTCTGCTGCGCGTGATTCCAAAATGGGGAAATTTGCGGTGTGATTTGTTTAATCTGCTCATTTGGACCGTGACACTGTCATGCAATGGCTCTACTCGTTTCGGGTCACATCTGTGGATATTTCACATCCTCTGTGAAGCAGACGGTGCATACGTTTATGGTTAGTGTACCGAGTAATAGCCCAGGCAGCCTGATGTAGTCACGTTTAAAGAGGGAAAGATGCGGCGCTGAGACTCCCATGACCCACAATTCCGTGGTGGGTTAATTGACCTCATCCAGCACTGGCTTTACAAAGGGCTGTAAATAAATTGTGAAAAAAAAAATCTAAATGGAGTGTGGCATCATGGGGCTGTGAGTGATGGCGACAGCTTGGGGAGTCTTTCATCCATCAGTGCATTGATTATAATCGCTGTTGCTGTGATGCTGTTGCTGCTGATGATGATGAATCTAAATGGTATCATCTTGTGTCTCAACCCGGCTGTGAGTAAAGTTGCCCGGGTGATTCATGCCGCGGCACGGATATTCCCCTTTTGTTTATCTCCCCTGCATCACCACGACCTCTCACACCCCATCTCCTACCCCCATCTTCAGCCTAATTTACATGAGCGCATGCGGTAAATAATAACAATAATAACAACAGTAACATAAATGGAGGCAGCGTGACAATATGTGACGCGCTGTGTGGGATTACTGGGTCGGACGAGAAGAGTGACCTGCAGGCATCAGTGGCTGCAGACTTGCCATCTGTGTCACCCTTTCTCCCTCCCTCCCTCCCTCTCCACCACCACTCCCTTTCTCTCTCTCTCTCTCGCTCTTCATCACTCCCTCTCTCTCTCCCCAGCTCAATCAGCCAAGCACAGCCCCACCAGCTGGTCTTGTCTGCCACCAGCGATAATGAGCTCAGATATTTTTGCCCCATCGCCACGGGCCGTGTGATTGCTTTCAGCGTAACCGCGATCCGTTCAGCGCAGTCTGCGTAACGTAAATAATAATCGCGAGGATGCTGCCGCAGGGGCGGCGGCGGTGGCGGCGGCGTCGTGGTCAGCAATTCACACGCGGGACTTGCGACCCAGCGGTCTCAGGGTCGATTCCATCACCGCCGGCGTGGCAGTTGAAACGGCGGGGCAGGTTTTGTCGAATCCTGGACTGGCTTAGGTCCATCCAGTCGCGTGAATGAGGTTCAGGGCAGCGAGTCGATCGGCAGGTCGCACGTGGGCGAGTTAAAGTGTCGGTTACGACCCCACCTCTTCCAAGACGGTCCCGCCAGTGTGGAAGAGTAAGCCAAAGTACGCTCTTTAGCGGAGGCCCTTCAGGCGTGGCACGGCGCGAGACATTTCAGGGCTAAATGCGGCGACGATCAATGTCTTTGCATCCTCGCCAGTTCTATTCTTAGCTGCTCCTAGTCCGTGACTCAGTCACCGATTACTTTGAGGAGCGATCAAAGCGGATGACGCATCTCGCGCCTTCACGATGAAAAAAAAGTTTCAATAGCCACACTTACGCGCGGTTTTACATTATTTCGTTTTATCCGGGCTTTGTCTCCTCTGCTCCCCCCCCCTCCATCCCCCCTCCCCGATTATCCTGGATAGTGCAGACGATTAGTACCGAATCGGAGAGAGGAAAATAAACTCATGGGGATTAGTCCTGCAGCTAAGCCACGGTTTTGATTGAAAGCTTTCGTGACTGCAGGGATTCATATTTTTGGTTCTTTCGGTAAAATCACGTAGAAGGGGAATAATAAAATAATATAAATATAAAATAATATAAATCTGTGGATTTCACACCTGGTGATAATTGCTTGTGTTGTAGTCAAAACGTCGTGAGAATTTTGTATTGTTTTATATTTATATTATTTTATTATTTCCCTTCTACGTGACTTTACCGAAAGAACCAAGAATATAAGCCACGGTTATTTTGCCAAAACTCGACGTGGAGACAGTTGGCTTGACTTGGCCGCTCATACTAAATCGCTACACTAATAATCACCGCCTCCCACTGGATTTGGATGTTCGGCCTCATTTATGGGTGACGCCTTCTTCTTCGTAAGCGCAGCTAGACTCTCGTTAACCTAATTAGCCAAGCGTCCCGATGTGGCAGCAACCGTCACGAACGTGCTGAGAGGCCTTGCTGGATAAAATAATCGTTTTTTTTAATTTAACACGTAGGCTTTCACGACCAATATTATTCATAATCAACGTTTTTGGGTTTAGATCGCGTTATTTATAAATGTGTCGTAACCCTCCACCACCCGACACGGCCATTCTGGCGAATTGCCTGATGATGCTGGATGCCATTACCAGCGAAACGTCGTACTCAAATTGTAAATGTTGTGGTTTCACACTTCAACACACCGGTGGGGTAAAGCAGTGAACTATTTGTCTTTTGTCAACGTGACACTTTTTTACTGATTGGCCGTGTCGGGTGGTGGAGGGTTACGACACATTTATAAATAACGCGATCTAAACCCAAAAACGTTGATTATGAGTTTTTTAATTGTTATAGGTGGGTGATAATTTACAGCCTGTGATTCAAATCACCTGTAACGCACCCAAATATCGTCAGATCTTAGATGCTAAGCAGGTTTCAGCCTGGATAGCGCTTGGATCGGTGACCACCGTGCATGCCAGGTTGCCATAGGTGCCTGCAGGGTGAGCAACATGGTGGGCAGTAGACGGAAATGTAGCATAATGTGATGTTGTACTGTGCTCCTATGGTCCCGCTTTTACCAACCCACTCTGGCCAGTGATGTGAAATCTGGTCAAACGAGTCCCATGACTGGCATGTCTCAGGCATTTATTGATCGGGCCGTGTCGTGGGTGCGTGCGTTGTGTGTACTCATGCGTGCGTGTATGCATAGGCGTGTACATACATGTGTATCTGTATGTACGCGCTAGCCTGTGTGCAACGAATATCTGAACCAATCCTGGACCTCCCCTAGGTCGACTCAAACTTGAGTACCAGGCACAGTGTATAAGAATCAGCTACTGGCGAGACAAAGGCGGCCGAGCATGGTGCCGGCCACCCCCCCTTGTGTGCTTTGCCGGCTTTGATGGGCGCTCGCTCACAGAACTTTCCCAATACGCCGTTAAAGGCGTGTGTGTTTGTGCGTGTGGTTGTGTTCGTGTGCACCCTTGGCTGCCCTCGCCCATCAGGTGGCGGGAGGATGGCTGGACGTGTGAAGTTGGGGAGATCGTTTGAGGCTTTGCTGTCTCTCCGGGAGGAGAACGCAGCTGTGATGTTTGCTCGCAAGCATTTCCATCGCAAAGCCAAATCCCCGGCCGCTCGTGACCTCTCCACCACTCACGCCCGACCGCAAAGAATCTCTCTCTCTCATTGCTCAGAAGGATTTTTTTTTATCAACTCTTTCCAACGAGGGTTGGCTGCCTTTAACGGTGGCCATTTGCGACACGGGGACACGGTAACGCTCACGATCCAGTACGGACCAGGCTTGAGCACAAAATCGTGTTGCCATCGGACACTTGGAGAGAATATTTGCTTCAGCATCCCAGCGTGGAGGGCCGAGCCACTGGCCAAGCCGCGTCGTCTCGTCGGGGCCTACGCAGGCTGCTGCAGCACCAAACAGCAAATTCCAGCAAAAGCAACGGTGACGCTTTGTGGAAAGAGACCGGAGGTGGAGGACGACTGAAAAAAACGATTGACGAATGGAGTGGAGGAGGCACTGGGGTGGAGAGGTATGACATGGAAGCACATACGATGAGCACGGTTGGCTACTTATGGTGCGAAAGAAGTTCAACACATATATATACATCTGCAGCGGATAGGACATGATGATGATGATGATGCTTGCCAAGCGTAGAGGACTGCTGCTGCTACTGGGAGTTCGTGGACCCAGCGGCCTCAATAAAGGAGCTGCATGGGCGGAGGAAGGTGAAGAGGCCGAGGGGAAATATTTTATTTTTTCGCCACCCAAGAAGCCGTGATTGAGAAGCCAGAATCCGCGTGCCTCTCTAGCGAGGCCTGGGGACGCCGCGAGCTACGCTGATCGACGTCGCTTGTCGTCCAGGAGATGTCACCGTCGTAGAGGGCTGGCAGACGACGCAGCGCACACGGCCCCCCACCCCCCGGTACCACCCTGAGACTCATTGGTAAAGAGGCACCGCCCCCCCACCCACCCACCCACCACGGATGCCCTGGGAATGGTCGGTGCTGCCCTGGCTGCCCTGGCTCCCCTGGCTGCCCTGGCTCTCCCTGGGACCCGTTGGTGCTGGGCCCATTTGCTTGGTCCCAGGCTCTGTCTCCCGTTTCTCTGCCCTGACCCCTCTTCCACCTCCCTTCTACCCCAATGTAGTTCTACGCCTTTGTAGAGTGACCTTACATGCACTTGCATTTCAATGGTGATACTATCCTGGTTAAAGCTCTGAGGCAGCGGTGGAAATTCCACATTTCTCTGGTCGGTATGAGTCTGTCCGTGGGATTATGTGATGTTGGCTTCTCCACAGAGTGGTCTTAATGTTACGCACCCAGGAGGGAGGGATGATGGGCTGGGTTGACCCCCCAACCGAGGTTTGAACTCTTGACCTCATTTGCGAGCCGCTCGCTCTCCAGCTGTGCCACTCGACCAAGCTGCTTCAGACACTATTATCAATGGAAATCGCTGCTGTACGGTGCAGCTATTGCACCGCTGATTGCCCATACATGAACACAGGTTTGCCTGTTAAGCGGCAGCCGTGAGTGTAGCCAGGGTGATCCGTTGATGACATCGAATCATCGACTAAAAAAATTACTCAGCAGCCCCTTAAAAATGATGGCCATCCAGACATCTTGCCTCCCGTGGCAGGAATCCCCTACAAGCCGCACCCAACCAGACCTGGGTGATGATGATGATGCCGGCGATGTCGCCAAGCCCCGCCACCCGTCACCTCCCATCCAGCGGCACACGTGGGAACGGAGGCGAGACTCTTCGCGTTATCCGATTGGTCGAGTAATGGAATCGATAATCGATCGAGTAATCTGATTTGTTTACGAAGTAATGGGCAGAGTAATCTTTTTTACCCAAGCAATCGGATTACATCCCAGCTCTCGCTGCGAGCGAAGGAGTCGAAGCGGCAACGTTGGTGCCCCCGCAGCCGACCCGGGTCGCTTGAGCGTCCAGCAATCCGCATGAACCACGCAGGCGAGCTTGTCATTGAATGCAGTTTATTTCAAACGACTCTCATCGGCCTAGACTCGGATCCTCGCGACACCAACAGCATGTAGACTTCACGCATCAAACTACCCTGTCATGTTAGCAGCTCGTCATCACGGAGCAGCGTGGCGTGCCCGTGCGGTGACACCAGCGGTGACACAGACGGTGACACAGACGGTGACACTGGCGGAGACACTGGCGGTGACACTGGCGGAGACACAGGCAGTGACACTGGCAGGCAGCAACGAAGCGGGGCTCCTGGAACTGTCCCAAACCTCGGCGTTGTTGGCGTCCGTCGTGTGTGAGTGTTTGCGCGCGCGCACGTAATTGATGTGCGTGTAACGATTCATCGCCATACTATGTTGTAGGCAGCAGAGCGCAGTGCTGCAAAATCAGTTGTGATATACTGTGTTCCTTCATCTACGCCCCCTCTCCATGCCTTCACCAATCCGCACTGAGCAGCGTGGTGAAGTATGGTCATTTAGCCCCCCACGACCCGCACGGCGTAGCCAGCGCTCACGTGGCCAAACACCGGCGAAGCACAGCAGTCGTCCATCCAAGGGCTGTTCAGGCTTCAAGCCTCCTTAACTTCCGTCATCCGATGAGATCAGGTGCATTATGGGTGGCTGGATCGTGGGATGAATGTCATTAAGATAAATGAAACAAATCGTAAACTATTCTCACACGTGGAAAAAAAAACTAACTAATAATTTTAATCGATGAGCTGTTACATGCTACGTTGTGTTGTGCGAGGGGTAAGTCAGAACGTGCTCGTGGTATATTAGATTACGCGCTTTCACGCCCGTTACTCTCGTTTGTTCAATGCTGTGACCCTTCATACGAATGCTCGTTCTCTATTATGTTTAATCAATACAGACGCGGCTTCTAAATCATTCCTGTCGGAGTGGTGCGACCGTCTATTTGTAGAATGTCATATCAGTCGCCCCAAAACATTTGCTCTCACGTTCCCTGTAAATTTGCCCAAACTATATACACACAGACACACGCGCGCAGACGGCCAAACACATATATACGATTGTGGGCAGTGGTGGTGCTGGTCGATTGGAGGGCCCCCCTTGGTCGATTGGAGGGCCCCCACCCCCCCTCCCTTTCACTTCATAAACTCGTAGCGAGATGACAGAAGAGATATACACAAGAGATGTCGTCAGATAAGACAAATGTAGACAGAAATAGAGGTGGCGTGAGATGAGAGAAGAGAGATACACGAGTGAGATTATTTGGCTTTATGTTCATTATCGTGTTACGTTCATTAGGATTTGACTTTGAGCTGATGTTTTCGTGCTCCCATATTTTTTCATGAACATGAAGGGGGGGACGACGACCCCCCTTGAGCTACTTGGGGTCTGAATCTGGTACCTGCCGTTGCTTCTGCCCAGCGGCCATCGCCCGCCCGCTCGCTCGCCGGCCTCCGAGCACTTTCCTGCAACCCGTTGGGTTCCTTCGATATGCGGATCGTTTATTTTCATCAGCGGTAAATGCCAGGGCCGCAGTTTGCGGTTAGCGAGGACGTTCAACAAACGAGGGCATCGCGTACGATGGATGTGTGGGAATGCCCAAAGAATTATTAGTTGCTGCTCCTGCCACTGCGCTGCGCTTGTGTCCACACTTGGGGGGGGGGTGGGGTGAGGAACGACTTCTGCTCTTTCGCTGCAAAGGTACCCAGAGCGCACGATGCAGGCAGTGCCATTCACGCGTTGCGGTGCCGTGTTCACTTTGCCCCATTGATAATTTTGTACGCGCTTGTTTTCGGTTCACCCTTGCGACATTTCAGATTTTCTTTCCTGCGCTAACTGTGGCTGTAGTCTGTGACCAAATTTCACTCGGGAGTTTGCCCGATCTCGCCAGATCTTCGGAGGCTACACAGAGTCGAGAGCCTGGACATCGCTGGGTTGAGCCATCACCACCGGCAATGCACCGGCACGGCTGCCGTGGGGTTTGCAGTCGGCTGCGTGCTGGGCAGTCGAGGGCAGTGCGGCAAAATCCTCGTCTTGTACTTCCGTGTTTATCAGACGGCTTCTACGATATGGTCGTTCACGGCATTATCGCGCTCACGACACACAAAGCGCTCGCCACCAATGAACCGCAACACCTCGCTGATCTCGTCAAGGAGCATAAACATCATCCCGCGAACCCCCCCCCCCCCCCAGGTTATCCTCGCAGCAGCGGCTTTTGGCTGGCCATCGAACAACAGACGGTCGCCGCATCGCGCGCTGTCAGATGCGCTTCTGGGGCCGTCTGGAAAGCTCTTCCTTCCGATATTTCGAAGCCACTGGGAGCTACTCACTTTTACGTAACCTAGATTGAAACGTAATTTCTTTACAACTACTTTGTGTGTTTAATTTGTCGTCCTTCCCCCGCACCTCCGATTAGCACGGTTGGCTTACGTATGGTGCGAAAGAAGTTCAGCAGACGTACGTGGCACCGAATCACGTGACTCCTCCTGCTCTGCGCGCAGTGTACGCACGGGGGTGGGGGGGGGGGCAACGCGAGGGTGCACGCGTCAAGGGCGCAGCGCTTAATCTGCCACCCCCATCGTGATCGTTCGAGGCCATCGTCATCCAACACGTGTCCCTGTGTGCATTGTTGAATATCTTCATGTAATTTCCTGCGGTGTGTGTGCGAGCGTGTGCGCGCGTGTGGATTATCGCTCCCCTCATGGTGTGTTTAGCACCGATGTGACACCCCAATTAATTGGGAAATCTTGAACATCATCTCCTTGAATGAAATTAAAAACTGCGCTGGGTTTTGGGGCACAGATGTGGCATGGCTTTCACGTCTCTGTTAGCCACGATGCGTGCTTTGAAATTGCTTGGAATGACATTGAGAGACAGAAGAACCTCCGATTCGCGCGGTTGGTTACGTACGGTGTGAAAGAAGTTCTACACACATACAACACATGGACTAAAAAACATACGCAGGTTAACGACGAAAACCACACTCTAAAGAAAAGTGTGTTTGGGCATGAACCGTGGCTAATGGGATGCTAATGGCCCCACACTAGCGAAGGAGTGGAAGCCAAGTAACGGGACGTGTTTGATGGGATGTAGCGATGAGTTCAGCTCGTGCGCGGAGGTGCGAGGCGGATCGTTACATCGTGAGAGATGGCAACGACTTTGGGAGGCCTTTGTCTAGCAGTTGATTGATCATGAATGATGATGATGATGGTGGTGGTGATGTGAGCTGAACGTGCCCTGTAGTTACAGATGGTGTTCAAATAAAAAAAAGCACAACTGAGATCTTCTTGGTTCTTTTGGTAAAGTCACGTAGAAGGGAAATAATAAAATAATAAAAATAAAACATTATAAAATAATTCTCACGACGTTTCGGCCACAACGCAAGTAGCCATCCTCAGGTGGAGACCAGGTCTGTCGGGAGCTGTCTCCCCGACAGACCTGGTCTTCACCTGAGGACGGCTGAAACGTCGTGAGAATTATTTTATTATGTTTTATTTTTATAATTTTATTATTTCCCTTCTACGTGACTTTACCGAAAGAACCAAGAAGATGAATCCCTGCAGTCAAGAAAGCTTTAAATCGAAACACAACTGAGATGTCGGATAGCTCTTGCCGCGAGTGACCCCGTGTGCCCTGCTGGTGGACGTCAGAATCTGCGCTCGTGTCACGCGGTACAGCAGTTGGCGATGCCTCTGTAGTCCGTTCTCCTAAAACGCGGTCGTTGTTGCGTTCCCGAAGAACACCGCGTTATGGAAAATCGCGTTCTAATAAATAATACTGAACATGGGGGTCAAGCACCAGTCCGCGATAACGCGTGAGACGCGTGCGCAGGCTGGACAAAGACCGAGGCGCGTGGGGAGCATCTGGAAGCATCCAGCAGCATCCCAGTGCCTCGTGCGATGTTGCTACGCAGAGGCAGGCGTACGACCGATAATTCCTACTCGCGCGACGCAGTCCCGTTCTCTCGATCGCGTTATATCCAATTGGCATCGGCGTTATAAAAAAAAAACGCGTTTTCGAATACATTCATCCAAAAACACGCGGCGTTCCTGGGGAACAGACTGCACCGCATGGCGGCGCACGTTTTATTTTGCTACGCTGCTTGGGGTGTTTCGGCACCTGCCTCTCTACAGCGTTGGTTGGGAATATGTGGATCTCTGAGATGGTTTTGATCGCGGTGTCTGCTATCTTGACTGCTGCTACAAACACTGGCAGATCGGTGGTGGAGGGGGGAGATGGGGGCAATGACAACTTCCCCCCCCCCATCTCCCCTAGAGACCCCAATTATTGATATTTTGTTGATATTCACCAGATAAAATATTTTGCCCCCCCGCTCACTGAGAAGTGTATCGATGTAGGTCTGCATCTAGCTACAACACACGGGGGGGGGGGGGGGGGGGGGGGGATCTACGTCACGGCAATCACTCGGTGTTCCTTTGAGCTCTCTCTGGCAGGAACTCAATTTGGTATTTTCACATCCAGCGCCTGGAGCCGGGGTTCGAGAATTTGATTCGCCCTGAATTTCCAAGCAATTGCGGACGACGCTGGTGGCACAGCATCTCCAGAATTTAGAATTCACCCGGAAGGAGCTTGATGCGTCTCTATGTGTACGTAACGTCTGTGCATTTATGTGTGCATTTGTAAGTGCATATGCTTGCATGTGTGTATTTGTCGTGTAGTGGTTAGCGCGCCGCGCTACGAACCCGGCGACCCCAGTTTGATTTTTGTCTCACGGCCAACACCAGTGACGCTTGTCTGAACCGGTTCTGGGTCTCCCCTAGGTCGACTTAGCATCAAATTAATACCTGGTATAATGTGTAAACATCGCCATTGAGGACACACGTGTGGTGCTGGCCACCCAGCCTCTCGTGTGCCATCCTGGCCTTCATAGGTGCTCGCGAACGGCACTTGCCCCAATAGTCTGTAAAGGCTTTCTAGAGGATCTTCGTCTTTGTGCGCTTGGACGTGTGTGTGGCTGCATGCGTGTGCCTGTGCACTCGCGTGCCGGGAAAGAATTCCCGTCTCTTGTATTTCACAACGTCGTTTGGACGTATATCCGGGCGTCCGGTGCTCGAACACCGCCCTCTCTCCCCACCACCTCTCGGTCAGAGCTGATTCTTTATTCAAATTTACGAGCGGCTCGCGAGGCTGCGTGGGAATTCCCATTCGTAGGCTGAGACGGCACCATCAATCACCAGCCCGGCGGTCGGGACGTACGGGCTCAGTAGCGCCTGCGTGCAATGGTACCCGTTGAGTGCTAAAGTGTTACGCTGTGTTCCCTCCGCGCCCTCAGACCGATTGGCTATCCCAGGACTAATTCGTTATCCTTCCGCCTACCTGCCAAAATACATGATAAATTACTTTCCTTGATCTGAAAGTGTCGACGCAATAAACGTAGCGAACGTTGGGCCAACGTTGAATTGTGGTTTGGAACCGTTGGGCCAAAGTTGAGTTAAGTTGGCATTGCGGTTGTAACTGTTCAGCCAACGTTGGATCGCGGTAGGAACTGTTGGGCCAACGTTGATACTCGGGGCTTAGTTTCAGACGGGTTTGTCCAGATCGGCGACCCTAGAAAATATGTCAGTATCCGGCACACCACATCCAGTGTACCTCTCGCTGTTGCTGTGACTACGGGTCACGTGACTATTTCAGTCTACCAGCAACCTGGAAAAAAGTTAAAATGAAGCCCTGGTCATACTTAAATATATTTATATATATAGGACGTGTTGCTTGTGAGTTGGTGCATATACTAATAATTAATCTCTGAAGATGATGATAATATATATGGCATTATGGTGCATGAGATTGTTAAAAAAATAAGACTAACACTTGTGTGTGATCTGCATCTCTTAGGGCGTATTTACAAAATTGCCGTAGGTACAGAATTTGCCAAGCAATGCTTTGAAAACAAGGTGAACGGAAATACTGCTGTGAGGCATGCACGCATTGTACATTTGTGTTATTCCTGCATTATAAATGAATACTGTTTTTCTTATTTTAAATATATATCTGTACGCAACGGGAGTCTGCTGAAAAGCGACGCTTAATTCTCTCTGTAAACTTTGCTCTTTTAGGCAGGGCCGCCCGGGGTTGGAGCCTGGGGTTGGAGGCCCGGGGGCAGAATAATGCCACGTGGGGCCTCATTGTTCATGAGCGACTAAAGCAGGCCCGCTGTGGGGGCCTCTTTTTGTGCGAGGCCTGGGGGCAAATTGCCCCCCCTCCACCCCCTCCTCCCTTTTTTTCCCCCTTCACCACTCTGGGCAGCTCTGCTTTTAGGTGACCTGGCGGTTGTCAAAAGTCAGGGAACTTACGGTCAAAAGCAGAAACTGATTTTGGTGGCGTTTTTTTTGGCACCATTCGTTCAGACGTGAACGCTCGCCCGCTCGCTGTGAGTCAATGCAGGGCCTTGGGGCCGTTGACCTGTTCGGTCTGCTCGACCTCATCCCATCGACGCTGAATCTCCCCATGCTGAATTATGCCCCCCCCCCGCGCTCAATTCTGATAATAAATTAATTGGTTAATTGGCCGTGCTGACGGAAGAGATTGCATGCGGCCATCGCGTAACAAGCGGTTCGTTTTGCCCTCCCTCGTGCGATTGACAAAAATTAACATCTAAACATTTGTTTTCAAGGACGTTCTCTGGCTTAGTGGCTCGTGAAGTACAGTAGCGTGGCGAAAGAAGAAAAACTCGGAGCGCGTGCCGGGCGTCCCGAGTCACCGTCGCACTTTTTAAGACGCATAAAAAATTTCTTTTTAAATGAAATTAATAGCGTCCGTGACACTGAATTGATGTGCAGCGTAAGATATGTGATCTCGAACGAGGGCGACTACAGAGCTCCCTCGAGTGGAGACCCATCCACCAGCAGTGATGTGAGCAAGCAATTGCAGGGTTGCACCTCTACAGGATCACCTGGTGTTTGAGACGACACTGACCGCCACTGTCTACAACCTGAATGTGTTGGTCAATTTGAACCGGAATAGCGGAGTCAGAGTGACCGGGCCTACGTCTTCTGGCAACACTTGTGTTGACGTGGTCACATCGAGTACATTGCGACGATCTCCCTGGAAATGAGAGGCGTAACGATTCACTCTCTAAATGCCGATTCCATGGCGCGTCACCATGAGGTCATCTTTTTTATATATTGCGGTGGTTGTGGCGGACGCTTATTAACTGCAGAGGTCACGTGAACCCATTACATACCACGTGTACCAATTGGAAAATAGTCAACTCTCGTGCGATGCCGTCCACATGTCGTGAGCGTAAGAATTATTGTAAATCGAGGTGGCTGACTGGCTTCAGAGGTCGGAGAGCTGAGCCCCGCACTGCCGAGGACCTGGGTTCGAATCGAGGTTTCAGCCACCCGTGATAAAAGCGGATTCTCAGATTAGTGAGTTGATATTCTCAGCTCGGTCACCAATGACCGCGCAAAACTTTTCATTTGAATCTACATTGAATTTGGCTACATTCAAACACTGAACACTAAAACAATTGCTTTGGCTGTTATGCAAAGAAAATTACTCTCATATTCAGAGTGGAAGCTCTGATGTTCGCTTCCGTGGGCTTTTCTCTTGCACTGCCCAACGAGAAATCTGAATGGATACTTCATCTCATTACATGAGTGTGATAGCTCAATCGCGATGCAAATGAGAATCGCTTTCTATTGATGATATCGTGAGCTAAGGATATCAATTGTCGAATAGATGCACCGTTACGCCTCCCGCGGAGTCCCTGGGCCAGATCATGTTTGCTGTTCGTAACACCACGGAGTAAACATTTCTTCCGTAATCGGTTTGACCGGCAGAACAGCACAAAACCTCGCCAACGTCACTCGTAAGCACGGCAAATCCCCAAAACCGAAGCCAATGTGAATTTATCTTTAAAAAAAAAAACTTGCTGACAGTAACTCCCAACGGCCGTGCACTCAAATAGATTGTTTACACAGACAATGTTCTGGACGCATTTGCGGTGGACGAACGGACGGACGGACGCGGCGGACAGACCCGGCAAACCTGAGGAGAATTCCTGATCGCGATCGAAAACGGAGTCTGAGCTGGGGCCGTGCTCCGAGTGGTTGCCATGGCGCCGCCACGTTGCCCCGCGGTGTCGGAGCTGCCTCCGGTGGGTGACGGCTCCCTTGCCCGGCGTAACCCATCTTCCTACGGCCGCGGCTGCTGTGAGTCACGGCGCCGCCTATTCCGGGCAACCGGCGACCCGGTAACACAAATATTCGGTGAGAAATGAAGCCCCCCCCCGCCTGTGATCCAGCGTAGCAGCGTGGCGAGGGTGCGGTTCTGGCGGGATGTGGAGCGGCGTGGCACGGACGCGTCACGCGGCGTGCCGTGGGGTGGCAGTGCCGCAAGTCTCGGCGCGAGGCCCCGCGAGTTCGGAGACGCTGAAGCACCCGCTGCGCGCTGGCGGCGGCGGCGGCAATGCTGCGGCGTGGCGCCACGTCTAGTCGAGCGACAGCAGCGGCTGCATGTTCTCCTCCTCGCCGTCGGCGCTGCGCTTCAGCACGCCCGGCTCCACGGCCGACTGCGATCTGGGACAGGGCGGGGGGGGGGGGGGGGCGACGCGCGCCGGCGCGGTGAGAACCGTGGCCTCTGCCACTCAAGGCTCGGAGTGCTAACAGGGAAAGGACCTCGAAGGTCGGAGTTTCAGAACGGTGAGCCGATACTGCTAAGACCCCTGGGTTCAAATCCAGGTTTCGACCGCTTGCGATTAAACCGGATCCTCGAGTCTCGTGAGCTTGTGGTCTCTGCCCAGTCCCCAATCATCCAGGCACGAAAATCCCATGACATTACACTTTTTATGCCCCAAATGTGGCTGTATTTTCAGCTTTGGAGAACTGAATATCGGTTTGAATGTCACGTGATGCACATTATTCTCATGCGGCAGAGCACGTGGCAAAGTGTTGTCCTCTACTGTGTGGGGCCAGAGGTCACATGATGCGATCTCAGGGGTAGCTCTGTGACATCTCCCAGAAGCACAATCGGAGTAAACTTGGGGGGAGAATTACAAAAAACAAACCAAGGGGATGAGACCTGCAATGTGAAAAGGCACGAACAATCACGAGTGCTGTTGTCCGCGTTGCACCTGCGAGCATTGTTATTCGTGCGTCATTAGCGTCCCGTGTCGTTGCCCCCCCCCCCACCCCACCCCACCTGCGGATGTTGTTGCGGGGGGACCCGTCGAGGCCCCCCTCCCCGTCTCCCAGCGCCCCCGTCACGGGGCCCCCCATCCTCTCGGAAGCGCGCCTCCCGTCGAAGAAGCCGCCACCCCCGCCGCCGTGCCGCCCCTCCGTGTCGTCGTCGTAGTCGGGGCCCAGCAGTGTGCGCGCCCACGTGCCCATGTCGTAGGGGGGCAGCAGCCCCCCGAACTCCGAGGGCAGCATCTCGGGGTGCAGCAGCTGGTGCAGGCTCGTCAGGTTGTTGCCGTGGAGGAATATCTGCTCGGGAGGCGGACGGTGGGAGAGGGCGTTGATGTGTGTACGCACGCTGAACTTCCTTCGCACCGCACGTAGCCAACCGTGCTAATCGGAGGTGCGGGGAAGGGCAAAACACCAATCACAAAAAGTACTTCTCAAGAAATGAGTTTTTCCACTGGCGTTGTGAGTTACTTCCACTTAGCGACCACAGATGATCTCTGGGAGGGACACCACTGGAACGGCAGGATAATGCGTGTAGCTAGGACAGCTACCGAAGACGGAGGACACGCCAATTGTCTCTCTGTCGCTCGCTCACCGGCGATCAGTCACTTCCGTATCACTCTTTTATTGCTACAACCATGGTTTCTGTTCTGGTGAATTTCACTCAATTGATTCCAATTCTATCAGACACTCACTGTTTCGTCTCATCCTACCCTGTTTTCACTCACCACACTGCAGGTCACAACAACACACCCACCCACTCACCCACTCACCACACTGCAGGTCACAACAACACACTCACCCACTCACTGCACTGCAGGTCACCCACTCACCTCACTGCAGGTCACCCACTCACCCACTCAGCCACCCACCCACTCACCCACCCACTCACTCACCCACCCACCCACTCACCCACCCACCCACGCACACACTCAGCCACCCACCCACTCACCCACTCAGCCACCCACTCACTCACCCACCCACCCACTCACCCACCCACCCACTCACTTACACACCCACTCACCCACCCACCCACTCACCCACTCACACACCCACTCACCCACCCACCCACTCACCCACCCACCCACTCACCCACCCACCCACACACTCACCCACCCACTCACACACCCACTCACCCACCCACCCACTCACCCACTCACACACTCAGCCACCCACCCACCCACACACCCACTCACCCACTCACCCACCCACCCACTCACCCACCCACTCACCCACCCACCCACCCACACACCCACTCACCCACCCACTCACCCACCCACCCACTCACTCACACACCCACTCACTCACCCACCCACGCACCCACCCACCCACTCACCAACCCACCCACTCACTTCGCTTTCTGCTACTTCCCTCGCACTGCTCCACTTTGTAATTCCCTCCTCCCACCATAGTCTCTTTCACCCCCAAGCTATTATAATAATAATAACCTTGCTCAATTCAGGAAACGCGCTGTTTGTTACTGGCCACTTGACGTGTTGGGCCTGCACTCAGCCACTGTGATCGGACGGACAAGTGGCCGTGGGCAGGACACGGCGGATCCAGTGGAAGGAACGCCTCCAAGGACGCCAGATCGCGGAGATGGACTCATGAAATCAGCTCCAGTGCAGGAGCTAGGTGGATTGTTGCATCGCTGCAGCCTGCGAGAGATGGTAATGGGATTCGGGAGGCCTTCATCCGCCAGCGGATTGGTCATGGATGATGATGGTTATGGTGATGGTGGGAGGAGATGGACACATTCCTTGGTTGTTCAATGGGGTGTGGAGGGAAATAACTCGGCTGATAAATGTTAATGCCTGTGGCCTGTCAACAGGCCAATGCGCGCATCTCCTTCATTCATGGAAATTTGTGGCCATGCAACTGAAACTGAGGAGCATCCAGTAAAGCACTGCAGTCTGCGCTCCGTCGGTGCAGGGATAGTAAATCTACACCAACTCTCTCCCGAAGCCCTCTCGTGGCTAGCAGAGATTGACATTTATTTCCCGAACATATTGCTGCCGTACGCAAGAACAGAATAGCACACTTCTAACCACACCGCCCAGAATGCACCCGGCCTTGTCAGATCGGAGAAGCTAAGCAGCCTCGAGACTGTATAACTTGCTCGAATGGGTGAGACGGCCATGGAAAAAAGAAAATCCAAATTGAGTGAAATCTCACAAAATAGCCGTAACAACGCGAGTGATGCGGGACGGAGCAGGTCACGAGGCCAGCGTCGCGCAAGATGAGACCGCGCCGGTGACGCGCCGGTGACGCACGGGCGGCAGTCGCGCTCCGCGGGGGGGGGGGGGGCTCACCCGCTTCCTTGTCTTGTCCTTGAGGAACGGGCGGATCATGGTGTAGAGGGCGTGGATGTACCACGGCTGGTTCACAAAGTGCACGCCGCCGAACCGCGCGGGGAAGCTGTCCTGCGGACACGCGGGCACACGAACGATAAACGTTCCACCACTCACAAAGCGCGCGCCGCTTTTCCAGTGTCACGTCCCGAGCCGAGTCTGGGTGGCATGGGCTCGTGTACGCGTGGTTTTTTTCCACTGGCGATTTGCCGTGCCGAGCCAGAGCCAAGCCGCAGTGCGCTCTCCAGTTTGGGGCGAAGCGGGGCTTGCTTGCGAGCGGTTGGGTGAGTGTACGGTCGGGTGGGTGAGTTTCTATTTTGTTTCACGAGGTGAAAACTCAAGAAACCAGGATGAGCTTTATTTGATAGGGCGAGTGTTTGGTTAGATGGGTGGGTATATGATTGTGTCGGTGGATAATTAAATGGATGATTTCGTGAGTGGGCAGTGGGTCCGTCGGTGTATACGTTGGTGGGTATGTGGGTAAAGGGTGGCTAAGTAATTGGGATGGTGGATGGGTAATTCAGTATGTGGCCATATTGGTGGGTCAGTGAGCGAGCGGGCGGGCGGGTGAGTCGGTGGGTAAGTGGGTGGATGAGTGGAAGGGCTGGCGTGTGCGGCGGCACTGTGGAGCTTGAGTAAGGCACTCGGGCTGCGCCGGTGAAAGTGACGGGCGTCGCTCACTGCGCGTGTCCTACATCAGCGCCGCGGCGGCTCCTAATGAATTGCTCCGGGGCGTGGGGACCACTCGGCTCGTTTGGCGAGAACGCGTGGCGAGAGTGGAGCACGGGCGGGCGACCAAAGCGTCCCTCCCTCCCTCCCTCGCTGCCTCTCTTCCCCATCCTCCACCCTCCTCATCCTCCCAAACGATTGACGCTGCTTGAGGTGTGTGGGCAGTTCGGCGTGCGGTTCAGTGAGTGGTTGGGTGCGTCGGTGAGTTGGTTGGTAAGTGCATCGGCGATTTTGTCAGGTAGTTGGGTGTGCTGCTGGGTGACATGGTGGGTGGTTGGGTGAGGTGGTGGGTGGTTGGGTGAGGTGGTGGGTGGTTGGGTGAGATGGTGGGTGGTTGGGTGAGGTGGTGGGTGGTTGGGTGAGGTGGTGGGTGGTTGGGTGAGATGGTGGGTGGTTGGGTGTGCTGCTGGGTGAGATGGTGGGTGGTAGGGTGAGATGGTGGGTGTTTGAGTGCTTCTGGGTGTGTGATTGATTTGATTCGGTAGGTTGAGTCGGTGTGCTGTGGTTGCACATTCTGGTGGTTGCTTTGGTGTGCTCATGGATTTGTGGTTTTGTGTTTTGGCGGAGAATAGAACTGGCTAGGTGGGTGAGCATCCTCGGAGTTGAGAGGATGAGTGGGGTGGTCAACGCAATGGCCGGTGGGTAGGATCACAAAATAATTCGACTTCGCAGGAGGTGGCAGAGGTCCCATTTGCTCAATTACCGATGCGTCTGCCCCGTGTTCTTGTCGGCCGGCGGTGGCGATCGCCGCTCACGCTGGGATGGAGTGCCGTGATGTTGCGTTCAGGTTGGGGCAGCTTCCATTGGCGTCTCAATTACCTCAACAAGACCTCCCGCTGCCACGACGATGATGATGATGTGCATCATGATGGTTATATGCTAGTGGCCCCGTAATCAGCATTTATTTTCACCACAACGCGTGCCGCAGTTATCGTGAGAACCTCTGCGTGTGCACGTTTACCAACACGGCCCAATACAAAACTGCCTCATTCATCCAGCAGTGGATTGACCATGGCTGACGAAAATGAAAATTCATTTGAGGCCGAGTTTACCTAATGGGGTGGGGGGGGTGGAGACACGCTCAGATACCACGAGCCGCTGGCGGTGTGCGCCATGTGCGAGGAAGCAGCGTGCCGGTTGAAGCGAGGGTGACACCACGGCACTGCACCACCGCTCCCAGCACACCCTGACCCGCAAGAGGGAGGTTTTGACAGCGCCACACTCTGTGCGTGGCTGCAGCAGCTGCAGCAGCGGCCTTATTGTGATTTCGGTCATACCTCCCCCACCCACCTCAAAGGTCGTGACCCCCCCTCCCCTCCCACCACCTCTTCCCCTCTCCCGCCCCGCCCCCCACGTAACCACTCCAGTCAGTGACGCAGTGGACGGAGCTGGCGAATGAGCGCCGATCGCAAACGGAATTAGTCGGGACACGTGCTGCCTGTCGAGCGATATTGGTGTGGAAGGCCCGGCAGGGGTTGTTAATTGACTGAAACGTGGACGCATGTCGTCTGTATGCTTGTACAGGGTGCTTCGAAACAATGTTAACGCTTCTGAGAATGTGCAACAATAACACAGGAAATGTGCCTCCTCCGGGCTCTTGAGACGATTCCATGCACGCGTTGACAATGACGGCGCACAAGTGGAGACATTTTGAAGCTGTTTCACCTGAAGACGATGGCTTGTGTTGCTATAGAAACGTCGTGATCGATTAGCTATTTTTCTATCTACGTGACTTTACTGAAAGAACCAAATAGTATTTTAAGCTATTGGCATGTGTTTGTTATCATGTTAAGTGTATTCACCGTTCTTTTTTTTACATTAAAAAACGATAGTCCCATAGAAGTGTTCAAACATTTTTAAAGCACCCGATACACCTTAACACTGTACGCATGACGCTCCACAACAACGATTTATGATAATTGGTTCTTTACCCTTCTATCTGGCAACAAAACTGACACCTGTTTTGTTGCCAGATAGAAGGGTAAAGAACCAATTATCATATTTTTACTGGCAAATGAGGTCCCCATAGTGAACGATTTATGAGTTTGTGTTGAACAGGGCTGCATCGTTTAGATGGCGTGCTGTTGCCACTAACATGGCAACCCGGCAGCATTGAATCGAACGCGACTAGCTTGGCTTTTCTGATGATAGCCGGGTCAACGCCGGTCCAGAATTTGCTTAAACAAAAGCTGCTGCTGCATATCATTGGTCTGGTAAAGCCAATGGGCCAAAAGGACTACACAATATATTTTATTTATATGGCGACCACAGAAGGGAGGACTGTTTATATCTATGCTAATGGCTCTTCCACTGCGTGCCCTTCTCCTCCTCCTCCCTTCACTCCCACCAACCCACTCTCACTCCATCTCCATGACAACAGTGGCGATGTGTGGCCGTGAGTAACGATCAGAATTTTTAATTTGCCTCTCGCGAGAGGATCTGCTGCCTCTGCTGCTGCCCACCAATCACCGCCGCGATCGGAGGCGGATCAAAGTGGACGCCGAGATGAATGGGACGGAACGGTCTTCCTCCTCTTGTTGTAAACAACAACAACAACAAGTAGCAGCTTGCCGAATCAATTACAAGGGATGTCCCAGCGTATAATTGTGGGTTTGTGTGTGTGTTTTATATTGCGCTGGCCGCTTAGAAACGCGCGTGTCATTTGTAAAAAAAAACCCAACAATTACGCGCTCCACAATACAATAAACAATACATGACCGTGAAGAATGCAGTTGGCAATCATTGCGTCTTGATTGCAAACTGAAGTAAATTGAGTCAGGGCGAGCGATTGATCAGCCCTGGGTTGGTTAAGTAGATTGTCGGGTGGGTGTCTGGGTGGATGAATGCATTGGTGGATGGGAGGGTGGGGGAGGTGCTTTACGAGTGAGTGTTTTTTGGGTGAATGAGTGAGTGTTTTTTGGGTGAGTTTGGGTTGGTAAGTGAGTGTTTATTGGGTGAATGGATGTGTGTTTTTTGGGTGAGTTTGGGTTGGTAAGTGAGTGTTTTTTGGGTGAATGAGTGAGTGTTTTTTGGGTGAGTTTGGGTTGGTAAGTGAGTGTTTTTTGGGTGAATGGGTGAGTGTTTTGGGTGAATGGGTGAGTGTTTTTTGGGTGAATGGATGAGTGTTTTTTGGGTGAGTTTGGGTTGGTGAGTGTTTTTTGGGTGAATGAGTGAGTGTTTTTTGGGTGAGTTTGGGTTGGTAAGTGAGTGTTTTTTGGGTGAATGGGTGAGTGTTTTGGGTGAATGGGTGAGTGTTTTTTGGGTGAATGGGTGAGTGTTTTTTGGGTGAGTTTGGGTTGGTAAGTGAGTGTTTTTTGGGTCAATGGGTGAGTGTTTTTTGGGAGAATGGGTGAGTGTTTTGGGGTTAATGGGTGAGTGTTTTTTGGGTGGGTGAGTAATTAATAATTTATTTTGCGTCAGATCGCTGCGTGGCAATGTGTGTCGTACACCGCTCAACCTGACACAGCTGAATAAACAAAGTCGTCACGTGAACAGATGCATCAATCCACAATACTTCACAATTGTACATATGGATTTGCACTCCGGCATACCAGTGTGGTGAAACAACAATACATTTAAACATTTGGTAATGTGCCTGTATTCATTGTTTTAGCTGTGTCGGGTGGAGGAGAGTGTATGACACATTCACATTTTACTCACGCGGCCAGCTGACCTAAACAGCAATCATGAATCATATCATTAGTCGCGAAGTTCAAGTGTTAAGGGTGGGTCAGTGTTCGGTTTTGGATATTTGAGTTGGTGGGTGAGCGTGTGGCGTGTGGGCGAGTTGGTGAGTGGGTGCGCAAGAGGTGGTGTGGTCGTGAGTGCACGGCTAACATCAGTGGCGAGTGATAACTGAACCTGTTCTCTCTGGATCTCTCCCAACGGTCAATTCAGTAATGAATTAGTTGTTGTTGTAATTATAGTGCAGAATGTAAATGGAACAGTGTGGTTGGCACAGATCACTGGTGCAAGGATTAAAATGGGACCGCCTGTCCAATTTCGCCCTCGCTTGGCCGCCCAATCCCTCTGGTCCGTGGGCCCCAGTGCAGTTGCACCGCCTACACACCGACTCGATTGCTATGCCACTCACTGCGCAGTACGTGTCTCTGCGCGCCTTGAAACTGCGAACACTTGAAATGGAAATATTTGAAGACGCCGTTGCTGAGTCGTACTGACAAATTCAAAACAAATTCCCACAACAACAACAAAAAACATCGGCAATGTTCCTTCGTTTGTACGTTCATAGCCAATCCAGTGGCCAACTGCGTTCAACACTCGTGCAGTAATTACATGCGTAATTAAAATAATCTTTAACAGCACCACAAGTGCGCTGTTTGTGG